TTTGTCAACGAAAACCCGCCGGCAATGAGTTGCGAATCGCAAACAGACAAATCACTGATTTTGCCCCAACCCATGATCAGCGTATCGTAAGTACGCGCCGGTTCCCAGCCGTACACCTGTCGGACACCACCGTATTGTTAGTACACATCGTTCAACATTACATTGCATTGTATTAGACCTTCAAAACATCTCGCGCTCCACTGAAGATGGCTTTTCCATCGGAGTGAAAGATGATCTGTCGGACGGGTCCGGCGTCGTTGACAGTACTCGACACCTGTTGAAAGCTCTCTAAGTCCCAGAATTTGATGGTTCCGTCAGCGCTAGAACTCGCCAATAGAAACTCGTTTGGATGGAAGGCTACGTCAGTGATGGCACTCGAATGGCCTTTCAATTCAGCCAACATTTTACCCGCCGGTAAATCCCATAACTAATCCCATTTTGATGTCAATGTACAACAAATATAGCAATTAAGCAACAATAAGACAAAAGCAAATAAAAGGGCAAACCTTAACAGAGCCCTCGTCTCCGCCCGATGCCAACCATCGACCGTCAGGACTAAACCTAAGACAGTGAACATCTTTCGAGTGGCCCTGAAATCAATGAAATGCAACAATATATAAAAACGTGAACTAAACAAATACAAACTCAACACACCTTATATGTATACATACAACCCTTTTTGCGAATATCCCATAATTTAATATTCGTATCGAAAGAACCAGAGGCCACGAAATCTCCGTATGGATGAAAGTCTAGACACCGGACATTAGTTTTATGTCCGGTTAGTGTCCGAAGTACTGATCATTTAATATACAATGAGTTAATTAGACGAGTAATTGTTTGCGTAAATTTATAATTGTAATGATTGAAAACTAGTGCAAACATACATTTGGCCGCTTCTAAATCCCATACTTTGAGTGCTCCCGAAGCAGATCCGGCACAGACCAGGTCTTCATTTTGGCTGAATTTGGCGCATTCGACAGCAGTTGTGTGTCCGGTCAAGCTCTACATCACATATACATTAATACAATTATAACATTGCATTTATATTTTGTGTTTTAATTATAATTCTCATTCTCTCAGATAATCTAATTTACAAAAACACTACAAAATTGTGATAAAACTAAATAAAAAAGAAGTTATGAGACCTTAATTACACACAAGAATTAAATTTCAAATAAAACCTCAAAAATAGAAATGCATTTCAAAATTTAATAAATAGATTAACATATTATCTTAAAAATTACTATTTATAGCACAATCCAAAAGCGATTCATTATTGTTCGCTTGAAAAACGAGTTAATTGGCAGAAAAAAACTATTCATTAAATAATAACTAAAAATTTCTTTATTTTGGGCTCATTTTTAAAGTGTCTTTATTTGTGTTAATTAAGACCAAAAATGTAATTTTGATAATAAATATTAAAACTAATGAATAATATTTACATTTGGTGTTTGTATACGATATGAAATTCGAGAAATATGCAAAAATTCTTGTTTTTCTATTATAACTGTAAATATATTTTGAGTTTACATTTATTTAGGTATAGAGAAATGCATTGAATTAACTGATAATGTAATGCAATTGGAATCGTGAGAATAGACTACACAAATAATATCGCGTTTCAAACGACACAAAAATAATAGCATTTCCTAAACATTTAATGATTTAAATAAGAAATTAAAAACACGGAAACATATGGCCAACACATTAATCAATGATATATTGTATAGACTTTTTAAAAAATATATATTACTTTTATATAAACTGAGAGACAGTGCTGTTGTGTATATAATATTAAGCATATATTACTGTTAGTGAATCTTTATGTCAATAGTAGTAGAAAATCAATAAAAGAGAAATTAAAAGTCATCGACCGATAGGTTAAGTCTAAAGTATATATACTGTTATGTAAGTGCTATGAAACTAATAACAGTAATAAAAATATACAATGACTGGTCTCTCGACAGTTCCCGGAATATAAAAATTGCTATACAATTGAGAAAATAAATTACATTTTAATACACTTATTAAATGGTAATCTTTGGGAAAATCCAGTGAACGTTCAATTCATATATAAATGGTATTATAATTGACCGAAAAGTCAATGATATTTATCTAACCGTTAAAGAGAAAAGAAATGCCATAAGAAATGAAGCGAAGATTATTATTGAAACAAATATTCTTAAAAATAAGCTAACATTCAATCGGCTTTTCCCTGTCAATCATTTACAAAACCATTAAATAAGTGTTAAAATAAGTCTCATTTGCATTACGTAACCAACACTTTAATCAATATGAAGGACAGCACAAGAATTTCATTACAATAAACTGTGGGCAGAATTAAAGGTTAATATAAATATAATTTTATTGCTAATAAAATCAATGACAAAAATACGAAAAATATTTCTCTTTACATATACTGTGCACTTGTAAGCCATGTATGGACAGCGGCCTCATTACACAAAACAATTTAATATTTCCAACTCTTAAATAACAGCATCGGATACTTAAATACAAGACTAGTAATTGTGTACATATATATGGTTTACATTTTTTTGTTAACGTATTCCTGACCCAAAAATTATACTCTAAACTCGCGTTTAATGTAAGAAATGAATCTCCTTTTTGATGATAGGGTGCTGTGGGCTCATACATAACCACTCACTCAAACACACTGTATATTAATTCAAGATCTTTCAGTGTTAAACATAATTGTAAAACACTTTAGAAACACAAATAAAAAAAGTTATAAATAGAAATGGTCTAATAATATGCTTACCATAATACAATTTTGTTTGCCAATCGCCCAGAGGTTCACTTTTTTGTCCTCACCTCCGGTGACCATAACTCGGCCCGACTTCTGGCCCAATGCCAGACACGTAACGCTCGCCCCATGAGCTACAAACTCTTCTGCAATCATACAATACAAATAGATTTATTAATTAAAACCAATCAATCAATTGACAGAATAGCTATTATTCAATTCATATTCAGTTCCTATACATAAACGATATATTAAACGCTGATTTCAGATAAACAATTAATTATTTGGTTGACAGCATGTAATGCAATGTATGACAAAAAACACAATCATTCTGTAATAACAATGATTCTTATATTTTGTGCACATTTTCGGGAATATTGCCAATATTTATATGCTATAAATTATAATTTACAACTCTTGTTCACATTTATTAAAACCTCTTATAAAGTCATATATTAATTAAGATTCTGTACAACAGTATTACAAGAATATTATATCTAATTATAGTAATGATGTTTTGATATTTTTTTTGCTGAATAATAATTTTTGGTTATATAGTGATAACATTGAAATATATTCGTATATTAAGTAAGTATAACATTCAATATACGCTACAAATAGAGTAAAATTATGTTGAATTATTGAGTGAATCCATTATTTAGAAATTGAGATCAAAGACAAACTGCTAAAAATCATTACTACAGCGAAGGCCTCATTACATAAAATGGACTTCAATTAGACCTTAAATTAAACTAATTATACAAAAATTGTTATTTTGCGTAAAAACAATATTAAAATGAATATAACATGTAAAACAAGAGCTAATAATAAGACATTAAAAAGTAAATGAATTATGAGAAGAAAGGGATGAAAGAATGCATTTTGTATTATCATTTCGAAGCGGAAGAGACATAATAACAGTACAAATATACTAAACATTTATTGGTTTGGATTTTATCGCAATTTTACATTGCATTCAATTGTGCTGTCAATTGTTGGCATTAATAGCAGACAATACGTTCATTCATAGCTCTATAACTTATATTTAAATGCTATGACTTCTTGTCTGACAAATACAACATTCTTTCCGGCATTTCATTTATAGCCAAACAATTAATTGCTATAAAAAGGTATATTTTTATAACAATATAATAGCCATTGGAAGTGAAACCCATAAACAAATTAA